TAGAACCAAAGGAATAGCAACTAATTATAAAAGCAAGTACTTAGAAATTTATTGGCTAGGATTTAATTGGGTCATGTAAATACTTTAAAGAATGTTCCATTGAGGACTGTGATTTTAGTGACAAGTTTTCAAAAGCCAATTTAATGTTGACATAAACAGAAATAAAGGGAATGATGTTTAAGTATAAGTAAAACTATTCAAAATTGTATTTATATTTTAAAAATATGGTTGATCCCACAAGGAGTTAAGCAAGATGCTATTTTAAGATGTGTGTGAGCTTTTCAAAACATTGCTTAGATACTGTACAAATTTAATCTGTCTCCAACTTGTAATGCAGCCTCATACTGGTCATTCTTTCCCTAAATTGCCTTCTCCTCAGATTCATGCCATGCACTTTCTGTTCCTGTTGCCTGGAGTACCCCATCCCCCCCTCATCTTTCATACTCTCATTCAGATCCTATTCTTTCTGGGGATGAAATCTGTAACCCATGGTTTATTTGGCTTTGTATTTGCATTTAAAAGCAGTCATCAAATTTATATCATTTTTCCATTTCTGAATCTCATTAGGTTCTGAACTTACACTTTTTCTATTTCTAGCATTCTCAGTAGACTATACTATATAGTAGATACTCAGTAACTGTTAACTGAATGAATGCTTTCTGTACCAGCAAAAGTGATAAATGTAGAATGAGGGCAATTCTATTAGGTATTCAGCATTATTCTGACCCTTACTAGATAATGTTATAAGAGTATAGATACTAGGAGAGTCCAACAGGAACACTACAATGAATGACCTGTGAGAAAAAGCTATGAGAGCTGAAATGTTTTTTTTTTAGCTAAAGAAAGCAATAAGGTGATTTTAAAAAATGAAATGAATGAGTACTGTACGAATATTCTCCTCATGAAGAATGACTAGGCTCTCAGTGAAGTATGGACAACTTTTTGAAGCTAAATATAGAGAAACAATGAAATAAGTCATTGAGATTTGGAGGGAAATTTGCTAGCTCCCATTACATTCTACCATCACCTATGGATACATGATTATGGCCACCTCTAAAAACCTCATTTCTCTATCAAAATTTGGAAACTTTCATAACCACCTTTCAAATAATACATACTTTTTGCCTTTTGAAATTACCCAAGCCCATGCTTACTGGGGGCAGTGGTGGAGGTGGAGGAAATAGGATCTGAGGAAAAAACGATGGTCCTTGTGGTGGGTAAAAGTTAAATCGCTGATAAAAGAAACATGGCATTAGTCCTAGGTAGTTGCAAACGTTTAAAGTGATAAACACGTCTTTTGAAAATACAACTAGGAGTTTACCTGTTCACTGGAACTCCCTCCAGATTGCTCAAACTTGTAAAACAGTAACAGCAACAACAGGAAAGAAGGTTAAGCAATACAATGCAATATGTTATTTTTTACAGAGAGTTTCTATTATAGTTAACAAGTCATTATTGCACGTTATACCTGTTAGTAGTATAGTTTCACTTCTGAAACAAATGTTGAATATCTAATAAAAATTGACTTAATTTTGTTGAGTTAGTCGCATACTTTTTATCTTTAAACTTATTTGCAAAAAAATTTGTTTTAATTTCTTGAAATTAGTTAAGATATTGCATGTCTTGTCCTTTGTTCAAGCAGTATTACCTGTTTAGATCTTAGCATTGTTAAGTTTGAAGTGAAGGGAGTGTGGAAGAGTAAATTAAAATTTTGTTTTTTTAAACATAAATTTTGAAAGCTCTCTCACATCTTTGAGATAACTTGTTCCACTTCTTGCCTCCTGGGTACCCTGGAAATTCAAACTGTAATAACCAGACTAGACTCAGTTCTCATTTACATAGATGTGGAGACATGGCTATTATCGAATGAAATAGCTTGGGGTGAGGGAACGGGAACTGGAACTCAATTGAAACTGCATAATTAAGCCGTAGGTCACTGTGGAATACTTGTACGGGATTACTAGGTATACTTGAGAGCTTTTGTTTCAACTGGGGCTCCTGAGTACTTTTGATACAGTTTATCATCCTTTGAGGTACTTCTTATCACTCATTTTATGGAGTGAGAATTTGTTTTGGGAAGACCTTTGGCTGAGGGAGATTAGTGAATTCCTAGTTTTAATGACTTTCCTGGACAATGCTTTCCTCTTGTGGAAATGAGAAGAGGTAAATGATGCAGCGCAGAAACACTATAAGACTGTGGAGTCCACACAAGAGGAGCAGTCAGTACTCACGGGGATGGGCAAGGCAATGGCAGTGCCCAGAAGGCCAGCCAACATGAAGAATTTCATTCTGGAGGAGAAGCCTAAAATCGAAGGGTTAGGAGATCAGTTTGTTTTTTTCCTAAATACTATGGCTGTTGTAAAATGACCGGTGAGAGTTTTGAAATAGTGTCCAACACCTCATTTCCATAGTTACCAATTTTAAGGCTAAATTCTGCCCTAGATTTCAGGTTTTGTATTCCCAGAACCATGCTTTTAAAACTTTTGAGTGCCTTTAACAAGATGTGCCTTTCTGGGTCATACTCTTCTTACCATCTTGTAGTTCAAACTATTATCTGCTGTGCTCCCTGAAGTTATTTAAATGGGTGATGATCTCTACTTGCAAACCTTCAAACACCAGGATCATTCTATGTTACCTAGTGGGGATGTAGCACAGCAGATTTAAGTGAGATTTCTCATGTGATATACTAGTAAATCCATGTTGAGCTTCCACTGCCATGACGTTTACCAAGGTTTCTATGGTTTGGATGCTACTATGGCTATTATAATTTCTCAGGAGGGATTGATATGGGATAATCTTATAAGGTATAATGGTAGAGAATAAATTCAGTCTGAGCAGATTCAACCAAGCAAATTAATGTGCCGCGATTCCAGGAACAAATCTTTTAAGTCTTCTAAGTCATATATCATTCAAATTAACTTACCTTGTGAATTTCAAAGTAAATCCCTATTCTGGAATTGAATTGTGGAAGAAAATTAACATGATCACATTCTTGGTAATATTCATCCCCACCACTGGAAGCAAGTCATATCGTATATGTTACATAACACATATGTACCACCAGCTATTATTTTACATGCATTTGAAACTCAACCAGTTTATCTTCATAATGATTTTACTTTGCTTGAATAGAGCCAATTTTCCCACTTAACCACCTTTTTCATGTTTCTCCTTCTGGATTCAATCTTATGGATTCAAGTCTTGATTTTTTTTTCCTTTTACAAGTGACCCTACTAGAAACCATCAAGGTGTCCAACACAAGAATATCTTACATTCTTTTACTGCATGTAATAGAATCAGTCCAAATCATACTGTATCTTTTCAATTACCTTTGCTTCCAGTGTCCTCCGAGCAATAGATTCAAGTAGCTGTGGAAGTGCCTAGAATGCCTCTGCCCACCAGTATATAAGCCGAGCTGCTAATGCCTGTGTGGTCAGAGGCACTATGAGTCACCAAATTCAAAGCTAAACTGAATAGTTGATTGCAGCCTAGAAACTTCAACTTATAAATATCTTAATTACACAGAGATAGGCTTATAGAAATATTGAGAAAATAATTTCATCTCTGACTGGGATTAGAGAATGTCTGTATCATACACAACCCATAATTAAAAATTGTGACCAGCAAAAATATTAATGTGCTTCTACAACAAGTCATCCAGGCAGCAATATACATGAAATCTTAACTGACAGGGAATTTAAGGCTCTAAAATTTAAATAAAAGTTGATGCTGTCCATTAAATATTTTTTTTTATTTCAAAGTGAAAATTACTTTTAAATTAAGCATTTTTAGCAAACACTTGTGTCAAACACAGTGTCTTTAGCATTAAAGTCACCTTTCATTATTCCAAAACATTTAAAATATTTAAAATGGTAATTTAAATCTAATATTTTCAAATATAATTTCCTTATCCCTAACAAATTTAAAATTAGAAACTTGGTTTTTAATTAGTTAAGACTTTCATATTTTCTTGCAGCTACATAAAAAAATCAAATTGGGAATTATTTCTAAAATTACTTCCATAGTTTAAAAAATATATAATAAGTAGGTATTAATTAACTAAATTGAACTTTTGTATTTAGAAATTACATTGTGTTATTTGGTCTGGTTAGGAACAAGTAACTCATGCTAAAGAAAGCTGTAATGAGTGAAATATTAATCAGATATTAACCTGATTCAAAACCAAATTCTTTTGTAGGAATATTTTAGATAAAATTCCAAGGGATACATTCTTTAAGTGATCATTACAGATAAGGCTCTGAACAACAATAGTAACAACAGAATTCTGAGTCTTTGAAAAAAATAACCAAAAACAATTGTATGAACAGCTTTTATTTCATGTAAGAAAACGCTGTATATAAGACCATTTAATTTTCCTTCAAATTTTGTAAGTAGAATAAAGTTGGTGAGTTTCTTTTATTGCCTTGAATTAGAGGTTGTCAATTCTATTATGGTGTCATATTTTTTGCTGACTAACTTTGATAACAGTAAATTTGAAAGAAGAACACAATTGTAAGCATACACTTTTTTCTTATGACACATTTTCTTGCTATCAGCTGAGAACAGTAATTTATCTCTGTGTTGGTATCAAAACATGTTAAAACTCTACTATCTGTGTTATATTTATATTACCTTTATTTGGAGGATATGAGAAGTGTAGACATTTTGCAGGACTCCTCTCTTCCCTAACACTTGTGCACAGCTACCCAAAACTAGAATCTTTGTAGCAAGCATGGCATAGTCATCCTCATTTTAATTGAATTTGGGAAAGAGCACTTGAGTTCAGTTTTTTGTTTAAACTTTTGACAGAGGACATTCGCAAATACTTGAACACCTGAATATTTGTTTCCCACTGGAAGCATTTCTCCAACCAAGTTACTTTGTTGTTGTTAAGTAGTGGGATCTCGGAAGCACAATTATAATTTGCTATGTAGTGTGAGTCTTTGGCTGGTCTTTCACATGTAATTGTTGAAATAAACATTGAATAAGTTCAATAAACATGGATTTTATGGTTGTTTATTAAGATATTGAAAATAATACACATTAACAATGAAAGAGCATTGTTTCATATTCTTGGTGTGTATATGATTTTATTGATAGAATGAACATATCAGTTTTTCAAGTTTTATAATTAGTATGTCATAAATGGATGCAGAGTGATAAGTTAAACTGCTGTTCACAAATAGCATACAGTATTTTGTCTATATTGACCTTACTTAATTTATAACTTTTATTTCCAGAGTTAATGTTAAATGCCTGGTGTATCTACTGTTATCAAGCAGTTTACTCTCATTGTCTTCTGAGACATGCAAACATTTTGCTAAATCTACAGGGTATCATAGCTGCATATATTTCAGAAGTAGTCAGGAAGATGACAGGTGAGTTCTTTCAAATCTTAAAACAGGAGATTTTCATCTATGTCTTCTGTAAAAGACAAAAACAAAACAAAATACTTAGCAGGAGGCAGAGTGTAATGTAAACAATGTGAGAGTTGGGAGATTAGAGAAGAAGGAAGGACATGGTGATTCTCAACCCTGGAAGGCATCAACATCACTGTGAAATTTTTAAAAATATTTATCTTCAGGCCTTGGTCTTCTACATCAGTATCCCAAGGAGTGGGTCAAATGGTTTGTATCCATTTAGAAAGCTCCATTAGGCTGTTCCTATGAGAACCACTGATAGAGGAGGTTGAGGGGAAGGACCACCCAAGAAGTGCCTTAAGGATTGCTAAAATACAATAGAAATCAATAGTAGCAGTTAAACCAGGCTTCCAAACAAGTGATAATAAAAGAAACTCTTGCTACACCTATGGAAGAAGGCTGTTCACAAATAGCCCTCTATAATGGTATACCCAGTCTTACTCAATAACATTAAGCAAATAGTGAAAGCAGATTAATTTGAACTCTGATCTACTACCTTGTCTGGGATACCAAGTACTTTTCCTGTTTCATTTCACCCCAAGAGAGGAAAGATTATGGGCTTTGGTATATCTGAGTACTGTGGCTTCCTTTGTAAAATGGGAATAATAGTCTCATTACTTAGAAGTTTATTTATATTCACTCTCATACTTTTTGTTGTTTCAGATGAGAGATGTCTGTACTGTTGAACTTAAAGCTGATCTTCTGCCTCTACCCTGAAACTATGTCTCTCCTGATTTCAACTTTCTCCCCCTTTTTAACCTCTTCTTTTAATTGTTCTATTCTCCTCTTTTCCTTTCTTCCCAGGCCATTCCCATCAGTGTCTAAATGTGCTGCATATCTAGCCCTAGATCCTCCCTAGTACTCTAGTGACCTTTGAGAAGAATCGTTTGTTTTTTTTTAAGAAGAATCTTAATGAACAAATGAACAAATGAATGAGTTCTTAAATTTCTTTAATGTCAAAATGCTTTCCTCAACTTTATATCCTTTCCCTTTCCTGTCTTCAAATACTTACTTTTTTTTTTAACCATTTCTCATCTCCTTACTCAAGCTAGAATGCTGGCTTCCATTGCTACCATCCTACCGGTGTTCTTACTAAGGCACCCAGCATATTCTCAGTCTTTGGCTTGACATCTCAGCAGTACTTGGTACTTGTCCACCACTTCCTCCTTTGAAACACCCCCTGTGGCATGGCACTACCCTGTTTTCTCCCTTCCTTTTCAGGAGACTTTGGGTTCTCCATAATGAACTCCTTCTCATCCCCATCATCTGGTGTGTTGTTCCTTAGTGTTCATCCCTAGACACTTTTCCATATAACTTAACATATTTTCCCTGGGAAATTCATTCCCTTTCTTGGAGTCAATTACTTTCTGTATGTTTATCATTCCTCACAAAAAGCATTTTAATGCCAAAATTGTCTTGAAAATCAAGTGCAGGTCCCACTATGTCCGTTCAAGACACTGTCCTAAGAATACTGGAGGATCACTAAAGTGCTTTAAACAGGGGAGTGACTTCACTGGAGTTGTATGTAAGAAACCCATATATTCAATTATCAACTGTACATTGTCTCCCTAATACTTAAACATTCAGCATGTCCAAAATGGAATTTATTATAGCCTTTAAATCTGCCTTTGTTCTTGTGGAACAGGATACATCTACTTACTGTGCTGGCGTAAGTCTGGAACCCAGGTTGTGTTTTTCTTTCAGTCTACTCCTTACCCCCCATACCACCCAACTCCCACTATTTCCTGTCAAGCACTATCTTCTTATTTCTATATGATATACATCATGACTATGTTTACATCTTTAATATGTTTGTATTCTAAGTTATATCTTGGATATGTTTTCCCTTTTGTTTTTCCCGTAGTTTAAGTCCTCATCAACTCTTGTCTGAATTTGCCATAACACCCTCTCAACTGTTCTCTGGCTTCTCCACAATGTAACCAAAAGAATCTTTCTTACATACAAGTCCAGTGAAGTCACTCACTTGTTAAAAGCATGTTAGTGATCCTCCAGTACTCTTAGGATAATGTCTTGAACGGACGTAGTGGGACCTGCATGATCTGACTTGTTTACACTATTAGTCTCAAAGGATTTTCTGAAGGTCCACGTGAGTGTATGTCAGTACATGATATGTCATGGGCACTAAGACAAAGACTTCGTCTCTTAATTGATCCCCAGTTTTACACACAAGGAAAATGAGACTCACTGAAGATAAGAAATGTGCCCTAATTTATGACCAAGTTGCAATGTTTGAGTACATTTAATTTAATCAAAGGCAGTTAAAGTTCAGTAAAATACTGACTAAACTTTATTTTCCTGTGGTGGACTGAGTCCTGACAGCAAGAAGAGTATATTTTACAAACAGAGAATTTTTTGTTCCCCCTAATTCTATCCTAAAGCAAAACTGTTTACTTATTCTAAGTGAATGTTTAATATCAACTTTATTGGCTTACTGTGTGATAATTCTTTTCCTTCTTCAAAATACGTAATCATGGCAAAACCACAGTGAACAAACAAAATCATTAGGGGCTTTACTAGTCACTCTGCACAGACAACCACCCAGCACAGAGCCAGAGTGAGCCTACATCTGAAGAGCGGCCAAAAGTTTCAGAAGAAACAGTAAAGTCAACTAGTTTCCTTAAATAAATGGCCTTTGCTCAAATTTGCCCCTTGGTCACTCTTTCCAAATCACATGCCATATAAAAAGGCATACATAAATATATCCTGCTCTAGCTAAGTTTTTGCCTCTCCCTAATGGAATTGAAGGAGTGGAGCAGCTGTTTTTGAGTGAATTTTGTCTTTTTAACATGGGGATTGGAAAGGACAATTTTGACCATTTTTTAAGGTATATATTTGAATGTTATGTACTGTGTTTACTGAACAGATGTTAGAAATGAAGTGGTCATTATATGGGTCTGGCTTTATAAAACAGTTCAAGGAAAAAAGAAAACAAGATGGAGCTATCTAAGTCTCGGTAAAGCCAGAGTTGGGAGGCTATTGGAAGGCAGGTCCCCAGGCATATCCAGATACACCCACCTCCAGGAAGGAGCTGAAACAGCTGGCTTGTCAGACAGCCCAGCATTGATCAACAAACTTTTCACCTGATTTGAATATTATTGCACCAATAGGAATTTGAATGACTTGTGGCTTAATTTGCATACTTGGTTAATGATCAGAGCTTGGTGGACTTCTAACCCTAATTTGTATAGCTGACCTAAGAAAAGCCTTTTCTAGGTAGATATAAGCTCTATTGCATCCAGGCAATTCAGCACATGACTCAAGAATTTCTTGAATTTGTGTCTCCTGAACTACAGTACTAATAAAATCCCAACTGAAAACTTATATTTTGCTTCAACTAGGTTTCATTCATTTGGAGATGTTATGTCCTGTCAATGTTAAGCAGGTGTATATGGTTGCCAGCTTCCAACATGGCCCCTAATGATCACTCCTGTAGTTTCCTTCTACATTATAGCAGGGTCAGCCTCTATCATCAAGAGCATATGGCAGGAGTAATGCTAGATCACCTGTGAGGTTAGCTTATAAAAGACACTGAGGCTTCAGTTTCCTGCTTTCTCATCATCTACTTTGGAGGAAACCTGATGTCAGGATGTGATCAATCCTCTAGAGAGGACTCCATGTGAGGAACTAAAGTCTGCCTACCACCACATGAGAGAGCTTAGAGGAGACTCCAAAGGATAATCATCCAGTTCTGCTACTCCTAGATTCTTGATCTTTAGAAAATGTGAGAGATATTTTAAGTTTTTAAATTCAGAAATGTGTGCAGCAATAGATAACTACAGTCCAGAATAAGATGCTTAGAAAAATATATATTCTTTGGTCTACACACAATAATATTGTAGAAGGACTATTCTTTTCTGCTTTCTCTTGTCAATAACAATCTGATTCACACTCTCAGGTCTTTGATATAATTTGAAAGAGTTATGCATATACATGAATTTTTTTTAATGTGAAGTCCTTTTAAGGAAATTAGCTCTTTAGGGGGAATTATTTTTTAAGGACTTATTTTTATTTATTTATGCATATAAGAACTGGGGTGTAGGCTAGGGTGGGGGTGGTGTGAGAGGGTTCACCAGAGACAAAGAGGAGAGCAGAACAGGTGTTTTTATTGAAATACACTGCTGAGGGCAGCAGCGGGTGAGACAGGAGAGGTCTGCTGCACCATATGGGTCAGTTCCCTGGCCAGGGATGAATGCAGGCCACCATGGTAATGTGATAGTGTGATTGCCTGATATCCACACATCAAAAGGGATGAACTTACTTTTCTTTATTGCTTTGCTGCATATTCATGTTGCATGAATAGCGTGAACATATATACAAAGCCTCTGCTTTAGAGATTTGATGTTCACTGTTGATGCACATTTGGCAAACTCTTTTCATTGCTCATTTTTTTGAACATTTTCAAGAGTTTACTATCGCGAATAACTTGCTCATATCAACCGTCACTTATGGTAAGAAAATGAAGTGCATTAAGACATGACCTAATTTTAAAAAATCTCTAAATTCCTTTACTATGAGAGCAAAGAAAGAACCTTGATTTTTTTGTTATTGTCACTGAAGATGTGGGAATGGGTCACTTTTGGATGAAAGAAATAATGTCTGGGTGCAAATTTGAATGTAGGCCCTGGTCTTTGTGTGGGGGTAGTAAATTCTAAGATTCTTTTGACATATCCCATTGTCAGAATCAGGCTTGCTGTTTTCCTCTTCACATGTGATTTGTAAGTGCTTGACCCATCATACCCCAAAACTAACTCAAAATGGATAAAAGATATAGTTGTAAGACATTGAGACCATAGACTACATAGACAAAACATAAACAAAACACTCCACTGGATGTCTATGCAACCACATGGAAAACCGGAAGACAGTAAATCTGAAGCTACTGTGGGGGAGGGGGAGGAGCAAGAACAAAGTTAGGAGGGAGCATGGTAGACTGTGGTGAGGGGTGGCAGGGGTCTTGATAGAGAGTGTAACACTTGAAGGGGGAGAGATTACACTTCTAGAATACAATGTTGTAAACCATTGTTATCGCAATAAACAAATTAATTTTTTTATAAAAGGTCTGACTCAATACCCAGATTTAAAAAGGATGTACAATCCTTTTTATAAATTCCTTCTTCAGAAGAGTAGCTGTTAGGGATTTGGCACTGCTTTCTGGAGTCACATCATTTTTCTCATCTTAGCCGAATGCTGAGACCTCAGCGCAGTTACCCCCTAAATATTCACCCTTGTTACCTTTGACAAGAGAGTATCATAAAGAAAATAATAAATAAGTGCAGGGACAATGCTGAGGGTCTCCTCTCACTGGGAGGCTGCCCCCTTTCTGCCTCAAGTTACACGGGGGAGCATGGCAGACCTCCCCACGGGGACTCAGGGCTCATCTGGAGGAGAGGTCACCCCTTCCTCCTGGCTGCCGATGCATTTACCTTCTTTAATTCCAAAGCAGTGGCCCCACTCCTTCAGGGTGATATGTTTATCCTTGTTGGGATCACACTCTTCAAAGAAGCGGGTTATGCAGTGTTCCATGGGCACCAGAGAGGCTCGGAGAGGAGCCAGCTCCGAATGGGTCAGGACTCTGCGAGGAGAGAAGTGACAGCCGGTGAACCACGGAGGAAATGAACTCTCTGGATGACCAATGCCATTTTCTTCCACAAGAGTGCTGAGTTGGCCAGATGTGTAGTACATGCATGGAAAAGTTGCAAATGAAGTTAAAAACTTCATTGTTTGTGGGTACAGGAACTGCAATGTCAGTTCACAAGCCTTCCTTTTCCCCTGGGAAATGCCCTCCCTTCACCCTTAGTTTCTAGGAGTACACTCCAGCATCGTGTTTGTACAACCTGGTTCTTACCCTACTGGTCATACCCAATTGTTCCATATGTAGGTACTTGCCCCGAGTTGGGCCAGTCAGTTTTTATCTTGGAAATTTAGGGTCAAGAATGAGAAAAGATTTGCACCAGGGACGTGGGGGACATGGAAGGAAATACCTGAAAGATATGTGGTTGAGAGACCAGTGGGAAGGGTGACAATGGCAGTTTTTAACCTGGCTTGTGTTTGGTTTTGTTCTTTTCCTTCTAGACTAGCTTGACCTCCTTCTGTCTCTTACTTATATGTCCCCACCGTAGGGTGCCTTAACTTGTGGTAAGCTAACTCCTCAGGGCTCCTGCTTTGGGGAACCTCATTTGGCTGGGCATTTACCTCCAAGGGGATGTGTAACTTTGGGTGTTTCATGGGAAAACTATTTTTTAAAAAGATTTAATTTATTAATGCATACGGAACTGGGGTACAAGCCAGAGGTGTAGGGGCGGTGAGAGGATTCACCAGAGTCAGAGTGGGGAGCAGAATAGGCAAATCAATTAAGTACACTGCTGAGGGGAGCAGTGGGCAGGTCAGGAGAGGTCTGCTGTGCCATGTGGGTCACCTCTGGACCGGGGATCGAACTTTCACTGAAGTGGCTGTGGCTAGCTTGCAGTGATGTGTCCTTACCCACTGTACCACCAGAGAGGGCAGGGAAAACTATTTTAACTATATTTTCTCTCTTCTATTGCACATGAATCCTATTGTTCTTTTCTACTGAAGTTTTTTTTGCAAAAAATGGAAAAGAGGCCCTCCCTGGTGGCGCAGCGGGTTAAAGCACTGCACTAAGAAGCTTAAGCCACTTCCCCATGAGTTCGATCCCCGCTTGCCCAGAGGTGACCACATGGCGCGGCAGACCTCTCCTGACCCGCCCGCTGCTCCCCTCAGCAGTGTACTTTGTCGATCTGCCTGTTCTGCTCCTCACTCTGTCTCTGGTGAATCCTCTCACCCTCCGCATCTCTGGCCTGTACCCCAGTTCTGTATGAATAAATAAATAAATCTTTAAAAAAAAAAAGGAAAAGAAAAAAATGTGCGAGAGTTGAAGGAATCTGTGCTGGAGGCAAGGCTCTACCATATACTCCTGGGCACTGTTGCATCACCATGTTCTATGATTTTCAAAGGAGTTTTGTGTCTGTATTAACTACACTTGCATTCTAAAGTGGAACTAGGAAATTTCCTCGATTTGCTTAGACTTCCTTTGTGTAGATAACTAGATATTCTGTTAGCTGGATGCTGTAGTTATGTGAAAGTAAAGGGTTTCTACCTGTCCACTGGGTGCTGGTCAAGTTCGCTGAACTGCCAGTGCACAGGATACACATACATGTGGTAGTTTTTCTTAAAGTCCCTTAAGAGAAGATCGATGGAATGGTCCCCAGCCAACAGTCTCTTTTCATCCAGGTAAATTTTCTTGACCTAGAATTAGAAAGAGGGATCATCAGAATCAGACAAGTATAATGGAAATATCACTTGTTAAGGAGACCAAATGAAGTGCTTTCCACTTAACACTATGCAGAATAACAGCTGACATTTCTTATTTCTACACAGCATAACAGCTAACATTTAAAAAAAAAACAACTTTTTAAAAGACATTTAAGTCTTTTGATCTTTTTTTTAAAGATTTATTTACTTATGCGTACAGAACTGGGGTACAGGCCAGAAGTGTAGGGGCGGCGAGAGGATTCACCAGAGACAGAGTGGGGAGCAGAACAGGCAGATCAAGGGAGTACACTGCTAAGGGGAGTAGTGGGAGGGTCAGGAGAGGCCTGTGGCGCCATGTGGGTCACCTCCGGGGTGAGCGGGGTTCGAACTCATGCTGAAGTGGCTTTAGCTTCTTAGCACTGAGCTTTAACCCACTGCACCACCAGGGAGGACCCCTTTTTTGATCTTTTAATCAAGTAATACTCATCCAATTCCTTAGAACTATGGAATGCCTTCAATGAAAAAGACAAAACTGACCTCAGCAAAGTTGTTGAATAGTTTGTGAAAAGCCCAACTTGCCCCAATCACTTCCCCCACTGGTCTGCTCCATCCTTAATCCTCCAAATATTTCTATCCAATGCCCACTCACCTTTGCACAGGAAAGGGGTGATTTGGTCACTCTCCCCTCGCCAAACTTGTGGCAGAAATCGTGACCTCTGCTATTCTGTCCATTTCTGTGGGCTAACTGGGAGCAGGGAGCAAGCTGACCTGCAGGGCAGATAAGTCCCTCACTCTACCCTGACACGTATTTTTTTCAGGCCCTGTAGACACAGGTAGCTGAACCATGGATAACTTACTTTATTTCTCTGCTTCTCATTTAGGTATCCAGGGTGTTCAGGGTTAGGCTCATATAGCTGCATGAGGATATTCTTGAGCCAGTCCCTCATCCTTAGAGGAAACTGAGTTACTTCAAAGTCTGTACAAGCAGGAATAGCTGTTCCAAGCAGAAAGTAAAAAGGTTTATAACATTTGGGTGTTACTCCTGTGCAATGACAAGTCCTCATAACGTCAGGCCCAACAGCATGCGGTGACTGAGACCCTCAATGTCCCATTTTAACAACAGTGGCCCTAGTCCTAGCACAGCAGGTTGCCTGGGGTGTTTTAAACACATACCAGATGCCAGCTGCCACTCAAAACATTTTGTGATTTGATTGGCCTGGGGTGGAGTCTGGCCATCAGGGAATTTTAAAGCTCCCAAAATAAATTTGATGTACAGCCTGGACTGAGAACCACTTCTATAGAATCGGAGAGTTGGGATTTAGAGGACATATGAGCTATTTACTAGGGGCAAAGAGGTAAAGGGGCAAGCTAGTTTATACTGTGGTAACAAATACTGTGGAATCTCAGTGTTTTAAAGAAATGAGAGTTTAGTTTTGGTCCTGATAGAAGCTCAATACCAGTTGGCAGGAGAGTTCTGTTCATCTCTGATTTTCTAGATGAACGAAAACCCAACTATCTCAACGCTGGGGAAGGGGACATGGAGAAGCATATACATAAATTCTTAAATGCACCTGCACAGATCTCCTATGGGTGAATTTTGCTCAAATTCCACTGGACAAAACAATTCTTGCAACCACGCCTAATGTCAAGGGCATTGAGAGGTTTAATCCACTCATATTGGAGGGAGAAAGCCAGAAATATTAGTGAATGCTGCTAATGTGAGACTCACTTAGTGGTGAGGATTTCCAAGCACAATTGAGAATAGCCTGGGGAAGGAAGACAATTTAAAAAAAAGCTTCTGGAAGAATGTGTTGTCATAAAACTTCTTGGACGAGGCTTAACTTAAATTGGGAAGAGAACAAAATAATTTAGCAAAATTCCAGTGACTCATTTATTAAATGGATGATATTATCGTAGAGGTTTTGAGCCCTAACTACATTAGGTTTGTCTAGATTACTTCAAAAACAAATGGAAAAAATGCCAAATTCCAACCCAGTTAAGTTAAATGAAAATCTTTTATCTTTAAAGTCTGGGAAGTCTTCTTATTTTTTTTTAATAAATATATCTTTTTAATATTTATTTATTCATAGAGAAACTGGGGTACAAGGCAGAGGTGAGGGGCCATGAGAGGATTCACTAGAGACAGAGTGGAGAGCAGAACAGGCAGATTGAGGAAATACACTGCTGAGGAGAGCAGTGGGCAGATCAGGAGAGATCTGCCACACCATGTGGATCACCTTTGGGGTTGGGGATCAAACTCATACTGAAGCGGCTGCAGCTAGCTTGTAGTGCTGCGTCCTAACCCATTGTGTCACCAGGGAGGGCCCAGTCTTCTTATTTTTTAAGCCTCCCAGTTAATATGTAGTCAAAGTTCAGAACTATATTCACTTTGTCCTATTTGCATCTGTAAGTACAGACACACACACACACACACAAAACTCATATAGGCATCAAGTAACCCAAATGCTCACAGCAACCATGGTTGGCAGTAATGATGAATTCTTACATTTGCAGGCTCCAAAATAATCCAGCTGCAATTGGTGTCCCTTTTTAGTCCCCTCCAACCTGCATTTAGTAGCAAACAGGTGACAAGAGCTAGCATAGGTTTGATTGTCAGTACCACAAACCTAGGAAAGACAAGCATGGAAAAAATTGTTTTTCTGAGTGGTCATTGGGAAAATACTCTTCTCTTAAAGCTGATAGGAAGCTGATAAACTGTGCAGTGTCAAAGATGTGGTAGGGAGATGAGGTCACTAAAATCATAATTACTTCTTGGCACAAAGAATCAGTTTATTAGAAAAATGATGATGACAATTTAGCTCTCTATAAGTTCAGTATCATAAAAGCTGCAGATGTCGTACAGATCAATACTATCATTACCTTCTCAAGGGACAGCTGAACTTTGATTTTGCTGGTATTTGGTTCTTCTCAACATCACTTGAAATATTATTTGATAACCTGGACAATTATTTATTTTTTTTAAAAGATTTATTTTATTTATCTATACAGAACTGGGCCAGAGGTGCAGGGGCGGTGAGAGGCTTCCCCTAAGACAGAATGGGAAGCAAACAGGCAAATGGACGAAGTACACTGCTCAGGGGAGCAGCAGGTGAGACAGAAGAGGTCTGCTACACCATATGGGTCACCTCCCTGGCCAGGGATTGAACTTGTGCTGAAGTGTGCTGAACTAGCTTTGAAGTGCTGAGCTTTAACCCAGTGCATCACCAGAGAGGGCCCACTTATTTATTTATTTAAATAAAAAATTTCAATTGCAAACTACTTTTTTTGAATGAAATCGCTAATTTCATTCAAATTAACAAATATGTGGCCTGTGAGACCAGTTTGCAGAAAACCTACTTGGTCAAGGAGTTTTGTAGGAGGACAAGTCACTGGATCCTGGCAAACACAGTGGGGTTTTCCCTGTTGATCAGCCTTACACATGTGTCCTCTTTTACACTGGAAGTTCAAGCAAGAATCTAACAGAAAAAGAGAATGGGTAAAAGTGAGAGAAAGCTAATGGAGTGTGTAAACTAAAAATCCTCAAGCTAATTAGCTCCATTTTCCATTAAGAGAGAACACTTGGGAAAACAGTAGAAGCCATTTTGATGGATGTGATAATTTTCAGGTGGATCCTCTGGCATCTGACTGTTTGGTCCAATAGTTCAGATGTTCTGTGCAGTTTGAATTGTATATTTAAAACCACAAACGGCTCTTTTTAGCATGCTTGTGACAGTCAGCATCAAGTGTTTGCTGTCTCCTTGGTCAGGTGTTCAATAAACTGGGAGTTTATTGTATCGAAATTCATAAGGTTTGTGACTGTGGCATGTGATGAGAAACTCAATGTTACTTCTTAATGGGGTATAAATTCACTAGTAAGTAACAGACTTGAAAATAAGTAAGGTAATTAATTCCCAGAAGAAAAAGGACCTAGAGAAAAAGATCTCCAACATTCACTGTCTTATAGTTTGAGAACATATTCAACTGTATTTGTGTATTGGATGTGATAAAGAAAAATGTCAGCAATTTAGGGGACTGTTCCTGGGGGAGAACTGAGATGAGGAAAACCTGTTTAGCAGTTGTTATGTAGAAATGAAGGAACTGAGATAACCATTTTGTTGATCTTTAATTTCCTTCCTGCAATTTCCCAGAAACTTGCTTCGCTCATACTCACCAACAATGGGCACCTTTGAGTTACCCTCACTGGAACCTCCGTCTTCACGAGGTGAGCCTTCTGCTTTCTTAACCTTTATAATAAGAGCGGAAGATAAAATATTTGTAAGGGGAAGCCATCCCATAATTTACATTTCCGTTGAGCATACCTTCAGAGAGCTTTTCATACCTACATTATTCCAGATCTCAAATAAGAAACCCCATTCATGACTGGGGAAATAGTAAGTCTTCAAAAAAGAGAAGCCGTTTCATCTCCCCAGAAAATGAATTCAGTGCTATATCTCTGGGGATTGCTCACTAAACATTAGAACTAATGTCAAGAGAAAAACTGGACTCTCCCTTCTAGATTTTGGAAAACAGTAGAAATAAAGTATTATCATACAATACTGCATGGTTCTTCTACTCATCTGTTAAGAAGCTGCTGGCAAAGTTTTTGTACCAGGCTTCTGTATGCTGTAATGTATAGCATTAGAAACATTAGAAACCTCCTCCTCCTTTAGAATGGTACCAGAGGTCTCAGCAATTGAGGTTAATTGTGACCTTCCTAACTGAAAGCTCTGTCAAGTTCTTGGTGGGTGGCTGCCTGGATTTTGCACAAAAGCTCCAAGTTATTCATTAAACCAGTAATTTTACTCCCATCATGCTGCAGTTTTTTGCTTATCTTTTAGGTTTATGTTTACTTAATGATATTGTACTCGAAATTGTTCTTAATCTTTATAGCTAACTCAGTAAGTACTGCGGGATCTTATGTTAGAGGCATTTTTGTTAGAACTGGTGATTTAACTTGAGTACAACATGGTCCCTGCTCTTAATGAATCAGAGCAGCAGTGGCTGTTGTCTTCACCCTCCTGTATGTCTGAATTTACCATCTTGTTAGGTCCAGGCCTCTCAGCTAAGTACCTGCATCTTTGTGCTTGGAAAACCACAGAAACCTACTTGACCTCTCAAAGGACAGACTGCAGTGTGGTGAAATTAGCACTCAGCTATTTGCAGCCTATCTAAATGCCCTTGCTCTCACTCCAAATAGGATAATTCAGAGGATCTTATCTCCAGATAGGATAATTCAGAGGATGGATTTTTTTTTTAAAGATTTATTTATTTATGCTTACAGAATTAGGGTCCAGGCCAGAGTTGTGGTGGGTAAGAGGATTCACTAGAGACAGCGTGGGGAGCAGAACAGACAGATCTACTTAAAAACACTGCTGAGGGGAGCAGTGGGCAGGTCAGGAGAGGTCTGCCACGCCATGTGGGTCAGCTCCCTGACTGGAGATCAAACTTGTGCTACAATGGCTTCTGAGAGCTTCATAGTGCAGAGCTTCAACCAGCTGTGCCACCAGGGAGAACCTGGAGAATTGCTTTTATGCTACAACTTGTTTTAACTTTCTTTGTATTAATTTCCTGTATCACTTCTCCACTCTTCTTTGTTCCCTGAATTATTCTTAAATATACTGCACTAAAATCCAGGGTGTTTCTCTCAGAACCTAAATAAAAAAGGCGTTCTCAGCCTCATGATGGAGATGGAGAGAAAAATAGATAATTATAACATATCTCAGTAATGAACCGTAGAGGTACAAACAGAAGACTGGGGCACAGAGAAAGGTTATGGCTAATTTTTTTTTTCTTGGTATTTTTTCACTTTTAAAAATTGAGGTAGAATTGACATATAATCTATTGCTTTCATAATGATTCAATATTTGTATATATTGTGAAATGATCTAGTTAACATTCACACACACACACCACCCGCCCCCCATGCACACACACATTATCAAATTTTTTTTCTTGTGATGCGGACTTTTAAGATCCACTGTTGGCAGTTATAGTCCAGAGACATTTTATGGGGGTGTAATGGGGGATGAGATAAAAAACAGTGGGGGGAGGGAAATGCACTGGACTTTGCTGATGGCACAGGGGTGATTTGGTGATGGGAAGCCCCAGGGGATTACAACTGAGATGGAAAAATGCACAAAATGATGGAAAAATAAACTATTGAAAAGAAAAAAAAAGATTCACTGTTGGCAACTTTCAGTAACCATAGTCACCATGCTATCCTATGATGGCTGTCTTTTTTTGTTGACAAAGCTAACTGTTTAACCGGACAAGCCTCATTGTAAATAATCTCACCTCTTGGTGTTTTCCAGGTTCACTGGTGTCTACATTTTCATTCTCACGTGCTTTTTCTTTTTGCTCCTCATTTTTGATGTGATGGCCATTGGTTTGAGGACGTTCACGCTCCAGGAAAGTCTGGCTCGGGATGGAGTAGTCATCACTCGCACTGTGTGGAGGGCTGTCATCGCTTTCATCATCAGCGCCACCCTTTGCCGGTGTGACATCACCAGTGGCGGCGGGCTCTACCAGCAAAGCCTCAGAATCAGTCTTTCTCTCCTCTTCATGGCTGCTGTTTACTTCTGGGCCAGATTTCTCCTCTTGGCTCTGCCATTCAGCACCTTGGTTGTGTTTATTGATTGGTGATGTAGTTTCCTCTTCCATGTCTGCATTGGCGTTAACATCTTCTTGTTCTTGATGATCCTGTTCAAATTGATCCTTCTGCATGTTGCTTACTTGAGTTGGTTGAGTGTACTCTTCCACAATACCATCAGCTTGGGTACTATCTTCTTCTTGCTTGCTGTTAGAATTCTCCTTGGGAAAGTCACTCTCACTTTCTTGGTTATCACTGGGGGCACCAACCTCATCAGACTCTTTTTCCTCCTCCTTTTCACCGCTGGGAATATTTGGATACTGCTCTTGGTTTCTTTGATCACTTAGGTCTTGACTACGTTTGCTGCTTCTGTTCAGCGCAGGATTGGAGTCACTTGTAGGCTGTTCTTGGTTTTTCTCTGTGGTACTTTCTTGTTGATTAGAATCTACAGTGGAACTAACACCAGGAGCAGGGAAGTCAGTGCTTTCTGGGAGTATTTTCTTTTCAGGCTCACTCATATCATCTTGTAGGTCCAGTGTTGCCTCAGTGGGTGCATCCCCCAAATTCTCACTGATATCACTGCCACTTTCCTCTTGATTCTTTAATCCTAGCTCTTGGTTGTAACTCGCATCCTGGTCCGCTGACTCATCATTGGTTTCTTCTTTTGATTTTAGTATTGACGAATTTTCAGCCTTAAAAAAAGTTTAGTCTTGAAAACACATGATAATACAATGTCTACATCATACAATTCAATGCTAATATTTAATATTCATTGTTTTTTTAATTCACATAATATCATGTGAACTGATTTCACATTCTGAACTATATGTTTAACTAATCTGAATTTTGTAAAATGAAACAGTGCTAAAATATCTTAACAAAAGGAGTATAACTCAAAATACAACATTTATATGACTGGAGACATTCGACATGATCATCCTCTTAAAAAAAACTGAGACAAACAGAGGTAATAATATCTTTGACTGTGCCTTCAAATTGAGACCTTCAGGGAATTGTATTAGTATACTCAGGTTATTACTTTTACCTTGTGCTTGGCATGGTCTTCTACAGATTCTGCAGTTTCCTTTTCATTTTTTGCATCTTCGGCACTTAAAATGGGGTTTGCAGTGTTGTCAGGTGTTATCAACACTTCAGCCTGTTGGGTGGAACTTAAGGAATCAGCAGTTGGCTTGGAGTCATCAGATAGGAACCTTGCATTTGTCTGAAAAAATTAAAAATGGTTGTGTCATTCATGTCTAGATGCTAATATTTAAAACTACTATAACTCGGCCCTCCCAGGTGGCGCAGCGGGTTAAAGCACTGCACTGAGAAACTAAAGCCACTTCCGCATGAGTTCGAACCCCGCCTGCCCTGGAGGTGACCACATGGCGAGGCAGACCTCTCCTGACCCGCCCGCTGCTCCCCTCAGCAGTGTGCTTCGTCGATCTGCCTGTTCTGCTTCCCCTCTGTCTCTGGTGAATCCTCTCACCCTCCACATCTCTGGCCTGTACCCCAGTTCTGTACGAATAAATAAATAAATCTTTAAAAAAAAAAAAACAAACTGCTATAACTCTTTTAATATCACCATTTTGAGTAGCAATATACTGTATGCACAACATCAATTAAAAACATTCTCTAAAATTTTTAACGATATACACAAACAACCTGAATATTATTTTAAGTGAAAACAGTGTCCCAATATGTTTAAGAAAAATATTATTTATGCAGAGACTAGCTGAAACTAAAACAAAAATGACTTCAATAATAGCATTAATTTGAAAGGAAATATGCATTCTTATGTTTATTGCAGGACTATTTATGGCCAAGATATGGAAACCACCTAAATGCCCCCAAACAGATGAATGGATAAAAAGACATGGTCTACAGGTGAGAAGATAGTGATAATGATGAACAGCGATATACCAGAGACATTTTGTGGGGGTGGAGTAGGGAATGGGATCAAAAACAGCAGGGGGAGGGAAATGCACTGAACTATGGTGATGGCACATGGGTGATTTGTTGTTGGGAAGCCCAAGGGGATTGCAACTGAGATGGAAAAATGCACAAAATGATGTAAAAATAAACTATTATTTTTAAAAAGAAGAAGAAAGACATGGTCTATATATACATAATAAAATACTGCTCAGCTATCAAGAAGATAAACTCATGCCATTTTTGTCAACACAGATGGAGCTAAAAGGGAATATCAGCAGGAGAAAATAAATACTCCATGGTGTTATTTTTCTGTGGAATGTAGAGAAACCAAACAAAAGGAGAGAGAGATAAAGACAAACTTTGAAAGCTGACTATAGATCTGAGGCATCCAGGAGAAGAGGGAGAGGTAAAAAAAGAGGGAGAGGAGTAAAATCAGGAGGGAGAAGAGCACATTAGACTTTGACTGAGATTTCTAAAATGGGGAGGTGGTTTGGTGGGAAGACAAGTGAGAGGGAGGAACAAAAGAAGATTACTGGGGCTTTGGTGGTGGATGTGATGAAATAATATACAATTTTATACCTCTAAGACATACTGTGATGTAAATCAATATTACCCTAATAAATATAACTTTAAAATAGAGTATCATTAAAAATAAATAAAATGTTTTATAAATATTAAGGAACTATCTAAGTGAAAAATTACTATTATTCATAATAAGTAATATTTGGTACTTTGATAATAATATGAACTACCTGACATGTTAGGGAGGGATCAGATGGGCTTTTTATTAGAAAGAGCCCTGGACACTCAGTTGTTAGGCAGACTGATGAAATATAAAGCTTAGGTTCTATGTGGAATAATTCACCTTTACTCCTTTAATAGGCCCTGTAGTGCTGATTGCGTAATGTTGAAGAAAGCCATAGAGTGTGGGATTTACTTTAGATAAGTTTGTTCACTTGCTTCTTATACATTTTCAACTAAGAAGAGTCATCGTACTTGAAAAAATTTCCACAGATTCTGTTTTTGACATGGGAAAGGGGAAATAATGGTGACCACTTTAGCTTGTTGGCAGGGTTATCATGGAAAGCAATGGATGCAGGAGATTCATTAAACTGAGAATTGCTCCTCCTCTCTGCACCTCTTTGTCTCTGTTCCCCCATTTCCAAACTGGAGAAGTACCCAGAAAAACACAGTAGTTCATCTTCTCTCTCAAACTTTCTGGAAGAGAGATTCTACTTTATCATTATATACACATTTATGACAACATTCCTTCTGGAAATCTGGGTAGAATTCCCTAACCACGCAGAATCCATTATCTTTGGAGAATCCAGGCAGAAGGGAGAAGTGGTACAAGATTTTTAAAAGGTAGGTAAGTACTATGAGAAGATATAAACATTAAGCTTTTTAGCATTTGGCTGGGACGCTAATAACAAATTGTCCTAAAAAGGAAACAGCTGCTATATATTTATATTCAGGCATGTCATTCAAACATTTGATTCAATACCACATTTAATGCTTGTTTACATAGCAGAAACAGCTGCAAGGGAAAAACACATTTCAAGAGAAAACAATGGTTCTGTGAGTTCCTTTCTATGCTAACTATAATTTTCCCCGCTTTTGCAACTTCAGAAGACATTGTCTGACTTCAGCTGGAGCAGTGCCACACCACTTAAGCATGATCTCCACGGTGGTCACCAGGTCTGTCTTCAAAGACCTGCTTGGTGTGGGAGACATGGCATTTGTCTTTGCTGACATCTGTTAACCAGAATTTGGCTACCCGTTCTCCAAAAAACAAGGGCAGAATCTTTGATATAGAGAGGGAGCAAGACAAGAGAAAATAGTTTTGTCTATGTCAAGGAAGTTGATTCTCCATTTAATGAAAAAGAAAAAAGTGGTTTGATGAAGGGTGATTGGACCACTTGGTCAACAACCAAATGTTGACGCTGGCCTGCGTTCCACTTGATTTTTATATTTTATCTTCCCAGTTATTTTGAGGCTGCTGAATTGGTCTCAAAGGATCTGATTTCTTGTGTGAGTGGTAGGACCAGTATATCTGACCATGAAGGAAAAAGGGTTCTTGTTCTGTCTGCTTTCGGCACATTTGTTTGGACAGAACCCAACGGTGACGTAGGAGCTGATTGATGCTCACTGCACCTGCCTTTTCAGCCATTGCTTCTCGTTCTTATTTAAGACTCAGAATTTCTCAGTATACATTTGATCTTGAAGGAAATGCTCCTGAAGAATTTGGGTAAAATTTTCATACTAATTTCTTATTTTTCATACTAGTTTCTCATACTACTGTAGTGAGTTTTTGCAGGAAAATATATTTCTTCCACTTCTTTTTGGTGTTTGGGCACATTCTCTGTCTAACAAACTGATATTCAACACTTTCAAATGTGTCTACTGTATCCTGCAGAATCCGAAAGTTCTGAAAGAAACATTTATCTTAATTGATGTAACATTGCATTATAATATATACATTTCTGGTGCACATCACTGAACACCAACATATTTATACACTATACTAAGTTTACCACTATAATTCCAATTTTATGCTTCATCATGTAATTGTATCCTTAAGCCAAACTGACCCACCACTCTGCCCTTTTACTTCTGGTAACTTCTAGTTGGTCTTATATTATAATCCACATGTTTATCTTTATTTTATTTAATTCATCTGTTTGTTTTCTCTGTATACCACATATGGGTTAAATTAGGTATGTGTTTGTCTTTCTCCATCTGGCATTAAGTCTTTTTTTTTTTATCTTTTTTTTTTCATATTCCACAATGTCCCTTGAATTTATTTTAAAAAATATTTCATATAAATTTTATGTCATTCTTAATTTTTATACAATATATGCTTTATCATCTCATGTATGGTCCTCAAGAAATTCCTATCACCAATTTACCATCACTGTGCACCATCACTGTAGTCCCTTGTGCTCTTCCCACATCTTCTTGATCCGCTCATCTATTTTTGGGCATTTGGTTTATTTCCATAGCTCACTTACTGTGAATAGGGCTGCATAAACATAGGCATGCAGGTGCTCTTCTGAATTGCTATTTTTGCCTCCTTTGGTTAGATACCATGAGTGGAACTGCTCAGTGCACACAGGGTGTCACTTATCTCAATTTTTAATCTATTAATTCTTTGCTTGGACATCTTAGATAATATGACTAAAATAAAAAGAGCATTTCAAACTACTATGTAAGATCAGTTTATTTTAAATGGAATTTCCTAAAGTAAGTTTCAGAGATGTAATAACAGAAGAGAGTTTATTTACCGGGATTGCAGCCGCAGTTCCCAAAATGTAGAGGAAAACGAGCACGGACTTCATGTTTCCCAGGCCTGTAAGTGAAGAGCACAATTAGCAGGTAATTAACAGATGAAGGAGGTAATTTTCTTAGCAAATAGTAAGCTTATTACTATCCCTTGTATTTAAAGGCAATTGCTGTTAGAAGGACACATCTGAAAATCTGAAAGGAGGGATTGGGATTAATGACAGTTTTTACCTAATTGTGTCCCTGTAAAAACAAAACAAAACAAAACAAAAAAACAAAAAACCCAACTTGAATTCTTGACCTACTTGGGTCTGGCGGGATCTGCTTATCATAGTGTTTCCTTTAGTAAAGACAGCCTTTATGCTGATGTTGAATCTTAAGATTCATGTGGGTTCACAGTGACAATAAAAGTCAGAAAGTAGGAGCGCTCCCTGGTGACACAACGGGTTAAAGCTCAGCACTACAAGCTGGCAGCAGCTGCTTTGGTGTTGAATTTGACCCCCCGCCCCAGAGGTGACCCACATGGTGCAGCAGACATCTCCTGACACACCCACTGCTCCCCTAAGCAGTCTACTTCATCAGCCAGACTGTTCTGCTCCCCTCTCTGTCTCTGTGAGTCCTCTCACTGCCCCTGCACCTCTGGCCTATACCCCAGTTCTGTATGCATAAATAATAAACCTTAAAAAAAAAAACTCTAAAAAACCCCCAGAAAACGAGTGAATATGGATGTCAGGTTGGATGAAACAAACCGCCTTTCTGGTGGAGAAATGTACACACTCAATGAATGTTTTTGGAATGCTATTGCAATGTCCTTAGGATGTCACCAATGATCATTTGATCTAGTGATGGACACTGACAATCTGTACGTTGATGGTGACCTGCAGACAGGTCAGCCTGGTCAGCATGTGCACATTAAAGTAGCATTTTAAATTTTGAGGTTTTCACATAAAAACGCAGGTTGGACCTCTGAGCAGCCACAGGACTTCATAGCAACAGTTGGGGGTGTGGTTCAGTGAAGGCTGTTTATATGGGATGCTGGCTTTGCACATGGTCTGTGTCACTTTGGTTCTTTGCCTTGCATTTGAGTTTAGAAAGTTCCAAACAAACTTTTTTTTTAATCTAGTATAGTTTTCAGTCAAGAGACAGAGAGTCTCAAAGAGACCAAGTAAATTGTCCTCCAGATGAACTCTTAAAAATTTGTAGGCGATCTATATTTTCTTGGACAGTATCCCTAAGTCTAGGAATCTAAGCTGCTTGGGGTTACAGAGACAGTTTTTTGTACTAATAAAGAGGTTTTGAATCTCCCAGAAATAGTAGAATTAAAAGTTTTTGGACAATCTCAGTTTTATACATGAATACATGCACAGAAATTTAAACAACACTTTTAGATTTATAAAATAATTGAGCAGTTCCTTCTGCAACTTACCTCAACATTTCTAAATAACATGCTTAAACGAATATCTAAAAAATATATTAGAGCGGACCACAATTCTACTCACTTAACACATTATTCTACCAATTTAGCACTTCACATAGAACACACATGTACACATACAGAGCACACTGGCACACTGTACACACATTCCTCCTTCCCTCCTCCTCTGGCTTCCGAAAATAATTACATCAAACTCTCAAACTCTTGCCATTTGCAGCAACATGGATGGAGCTGGAAGGGAGTATGCTTTGTGAAATAAACCAGAAGGAAAAAGAAAAATATCGAATGGTTTCACTGATAGGAGGAATATAAGAAAACAACATAAGACACAAGGGGAAAAAAGTGTGTTGTCATTACAATACAAAGCATAACACAACAAAACAAAAACAGACAATTATAAACCAGAAATATTCTACAAGGGAGGGAGACAGATGGATTGGTAGGAGGAGGAATAAGGGGGACTGTGGTGATGATGAGCTGGTGAAGTAAACATTGTTTTAAAGTGAAAAATAATGTAAATAGATGTATAAATAAAAAGTAAAATAATATAATTCTTATTTATATCATTGTTTAACATTGTGTATACTCAAAATTAACCTTAGCATTGCAATAATGCAAGTGTGGTTAAAACACAACTTCTTTGTTGCAGAGAATTGTGTGGATAGATGCTTTTGGGATAGGAGAACCATGGATTTAAATATATTTTTCATAAACCTAAAGAAGTCAATATTCAAAATTATGACAATGTAATTATTCTTCATAGCTGCCCTGAATAGTCATTTTGGATGAATGATACCTAAATTTCTTGAACAATATTTTGTTTTTGCCTGAATATTGAGGTTGCTTCCCTTCTTGGGTCTATGGACCCATTCACTTGCTCTTCCATTCAACAACAAATATTTCTTTTGGTACTGATACAGTAATGAAGCACATCTCTCTCTGCCTGACCAGATCAGCATTCGTATCTTCTTTATTTACCCTCTAGGTTTACCAACTTTGTTTTCTTACTTTTAGAGGAAAAAGAACTCCACTCAGATAACATCTGATCTGCTGGCCCCCAGGTGATGGGTGAAGGCAGCCTGGCAGCAGCCAAAACCTCCAGAAGCTTGTGCTGCAAGGACAGATGCGCTGACACTTGCCCACCCCCTTCTACTCCCTTGTAACTTAACTGCAGTTATTAGGAAAGCAGTCTTTCAGGCACAAGTCTGTTGCCTTCTCAATTTGTCGATAATTTAAACCACTTTGCATCTTCCCAGACTTTGTTTCCTTTCATTGGTTAAGGGAGCCGAGACAGCTGGCATTAGTTATCAGTGTGGTGACAATCACAAAAACAAGAAAGCTACAACAGGGGCCTCCCTGGTGTCACGAAGAGTCAAGATGCAGTATTATGAAGCAATCTGTAGCTACTGCAGCACAGGTTCGACCCCCCGCCAGGTAGCTGACCCCCACCTGGGAGGTGGCCCTCATGGCGTGGCAGACCTCTCTTGTTTTGCCTGCTGTTCCCCTCAGCAGTGTATTTCAGTGAATCTGCCTGTTCTGCTCCCCCAACTCTGTCTCTGGTGAGTCCTCTCATGCGCCCCCCACCTCCCGCAACTTTTGATCTGTACCCCAGCTCTTGTATGCATAAATAAATAAATCTTAAAAAAAAAATAGAATAAAGAAAGCTACAGCAAACCATCAGCAAATACCTGAGTCCTGTTTCCCCTCTTGGTGATGTCCTTTCCAGTGTCCAGATTTCTCTGCTCCGTTTGACTGAAAATTGAACATACCAGGGAGCTTTCCCAGGATCTCTTGCCCACCACCTAGAGGGCCCCCCCCCCTTTTTTTTCCATAGAGGCCCCTTTTTCTTTTTTTTTTTTTTTTCCTTTTCATATTTGAGTGCTTACTTCCTGAGCCCTGGGTGTTCTTCCTTTTTTGGTTTTTCCCTTGTTTATAAGGAGCAAATCCTCCAGAACTGGCTTTTTTGCTTATGGGACCCTTTTCTAGAAACTTCTGAAACTTCAGGTTTCAGGTTCCAGCTGCTTTCTGTTTTCTAAAAAAAGTATTGATCACTTCTATTTCATCTCCTCATTTCTTTTGTCTGTATGAGCTTATATTAGTATCAATCTTTACCTATCACGGCCCTGGAATTTTAATGTGTAGTGGTAGTATATGTGTATATGTTTGTCTGCCTCATTTAATCAACAGATGGTTTCTATTTCTTCATTGACTTATGTTCTCATTATCATTGTTATTAAGGCACATAAAAATTATTGTGGGTAGTTTGGGCTCTAACTTAGTTAATAAAATTTTTGTTGTTGTTGTAGAAAAGGAGGCTGTAAGTATTTTGTCATTACACTAGAAGAAAATAAGAATACATTACCCCACGCCCAGCTATTCATTCAGTGTGGGCCATCTAGACTAGGGAAGAGTGTTTTGGAAGGGTGGAGAGTTAAGCTTTGCATTGAAGGTGATTTAAGTTTGCATATAAGGGAAAAACTCAGTGACCTTAAATGAATTAATCAATTCTAAGTTTTTTTTAGGATTTACTTATGCTTACAGAACTGGGGTACAAATCAGAGGTGTGGTGGTGAGAGGATTCACCAGAGACAGAGTGGGGAGCAGAACAGGTAGAGTTACTGAAATACACTGCTGAGGGTAGCAGCGGGTGGTTCAGGAGAGGTCTGCCAAGCCATGTGGGTCAGCTCACCCCCTGGGGATCAAACCCATGCTGCAGTGGCTTCGGAGAGCTTCATGATGCGGTGCTTTAACCCGTTGACCCACCAGGGAGAGCCCCCAATTCCAAGTTTTAATGAAAATAGCAATTATACTTGGAGCCTTAATTATAATTTCACAGTGGGATTTCTCAGAAAATGACTATATTACTTAAGCAGAAATTCAGAGTACTTACAGTGGAAAGAGTTTGCATCGATTCTAAATTTAAATTAACTTGATAGTGATATATAAAAGATGGTGAACATTTATACTATCAAAGTGCTTCCGGTTTACCAAACAGATTTATAATGGTGGATTATTTTATCTTTGTCGCAACCTCATTACACGATAGATGAACAACGTAGAAAGTCTGAGAAGTGCATGCTCCAGGTCACAGTCAGTGAAGAAAGGAAACTGGGCTTAAACCTGTTATCTTGGTTCCTCTGCTGACTCTTGTCCAGTTCTTTTGCAAATAAAAGTTTATATTTACCTCTTATACAAATCTGTTCCTGGGGATGGCGGGGTGGGGGGAGGGGAGCCCAAAACAAGTATTGGAAAAAGACAGACTTTACCCTCAGTTTTTAATAAAAAATCTCCAAACATTGAAGTTTAAAGCTTTGCAGACTTGGCAAATGTTTTTCTGTGCTGGTGAATAAATGCTTATTAGAGAGTTTTGGGTCATTGGAGAGCTAAAGTCCATTTCAATGATGCCTTTTACAGTTTAAGTGGGCAGAAGCATAGATACTCAGTTTCCTTGAATGTAGATCATATTTAAATAAAAACATGTAGCATGCCTCTTCCCCCAAGAGGTGCTAACAATTCAGTTATATTGAAAAATGTCTTACAATGTAAAAGATCAACATCAAGTATGCGGACAGCTGGAATTAGACTTCAGCATTGTCCTTAAATAATTAAGAGATCTGGGCAAGTCACTTATT